TAGAGAAGAAGAAAAAAAAAAAACAGATAGGAAAATGGGTGCTTCAGCTTCCTCTTCAGTCACACAAAAATCGATCCACGATTTCAACGTCAAGGTTTCATTTTTAATCTTTTTCTCTGCAAGTTTTTGTATTGGGTGTGTGGCGTTTTTGTTTGTGAGCGTGTGGATCCACTTTTTATCCACGATTTAGGTAAATTTCTTGATGGGTTTTTCTTGTTTTATGATTTGGAGCAGGACAGTAAAGGCAATGATGTGAACCTGAGTGTTTATAAAGGCAAGGTCTTGCTTGTTATTAATGTCGCGTCCAAATGGTGAGGGCCCCCTTTTTTCTTCTTCTTCAAAACCCTTTTTTTTTTCCTTTTCTTTTCTATCTGTGTTATCTGCTACTTGATTATGTGGTGATTGTCTGTTTGATGAATTTGGAACAGTGGGTTCACGAACTCAAATTACACACAGATGACTGAGCTTTATTCCAAGTACAAGGATAAAGGTCTGATGTTTATCCTCCTTCATTTTGATGTTAAATTTGCGTATTGTATTTGTTTAGTTGGAGTGTAACTTTGCAGCCTTTATCTGGGGACTAAGTATAAATATAATATCCGTCAGTTGATGTTATTTTCTGCAGTAGATTTTCGATTTCAAGGGAAAATAGTTATCTATGAAGTTGAGATTTTTCTGTCTTATTATTGTATGAAATGAAGTTTCTCACAGTTCTTGCCTGCTTGTGCTTGGATGCCTTTGTTTCTGAAAGTGATTTTATATCTCAGGTTTTGAGATATTGGCCTTCCCTTGCAATCAATTCTTGTATCAAGAGCCAGGCTCAAGCCAAGAAGCAGAACAATTTGCTTGCACAAGATTCAAAGCTGAGTATCCCATCTTTCAAAAGGTGAATAATTTCATCCTGTTATTACCCTATATGGCGTTTGGTAACTATACTCTTCTGCTTTAAGTATTTAGGATCTGATATGTTGAGGTTGATCGATGAGGCTTTGTTGCTTTAGTTCTGATACTATTTCTATTAGTCATACTTTTGTTCTTTTGAAGATATCTTAAGTTATCTGATACATCAATTTTGGTTGTGATGGTATTTTTTTGACTGCTGATTAAATATGGTTTTGAGGGGTATATAAAGATATTGATTGAGATCGTCATTTTTTGTCTCGACTGAGAAAATGTTGGTAGTTGGCCATAAACCCTTTTACCTGGTTTTGCAGAATAACATACTTATCAAGGTATTACATTCAATCCGGTGATTCTAAATTGATATTACCTAACATCCTAACCTCCAGAGTCAGTAGAGAACTAATTGTAATATAAATATAATTTTCAAATAGCACTTTTCTAGTGCTACACAGTGATACGGTGAGCACTTCAACTTTTTTATCACATGAATCTTTATTGTTCTCAGAACACACGATTGCTACTTTACGAAGTCAATCCTGTTTGTAGCCATGAATCTTTCTTGAAAATGTGTTTTGTATTTGATTCTTTTTGACAGCTAGTATTTGTTATTAATTTTTTCACTGTCAGATAAGAGTGAATGGGCCAAATACAGCACCTGTGTATAAGTTCCTTAAGGAAAGTAAAGGTGGTTTTTGCGGGTCTCGCATAAAGTGGAACTTCACCAAGTTTCTAGTTGACAAAGATGGTCGTGTTATCAAACGTTATGGGACCTCTACCCCACCCTTGGCAATCGAGGTCTCTCTCTCTCTCTCTCTCTCTCTCTCCAGAAAAAAAAAAGATCATGGTAATAGCTGTTTGACATTATATAGAAGATACTGTTACTTTAGCAGAAATGAAAAAATATTCTTAGCGATGTGATTACTACATATATAATAGCAGTAACTATATCGTATTTTGCAGTAAACTTGTTAATTCATATACATATGCATGTTTGAGAATTTGCAACTGTGAGGCGAGTAACTGTAAACTCAATTATAAATTCGGGAGATATTGGGAGTTTTTCCCTGCAAGGCTTTAGCTCGAGGGGCAGTTTTTGTAATTATTATTATTTAACTTTGACTAGCTCGACTCATTCGCGATTGCAGGGTGATATAAAAAAAGCTCTCGGTGAAGATTGATAGGCGCGCATCCGGTTTTGTTGTTAAATTTGTGACCTTAACATTTTATGGTATTGCAAAACTGTAGACAGCAGCAAAAAAACTTAGATGTGTGTATTCTTTTTCACCCATTTTCCCACACATTTATAGAGTGCTTGTATTAATGGTTCTTATGGCACTTTTTGTGATATTACATAAAAATCTGGTTGTTTCTTTTAAAAAAAATGGTGTGATGGAAACTACTGAACAGAGGGATTTTTATCTGTGGAGGTGTGTTGATCGAAAAACTTTGCCCACACGGATGGGATGAAATTTACCCTACTGAATTATTTTTACCATTGGAATGTCACCACACTCAGCCTTGAACTTTTATCAGTTGGAAATTTATGATTTTGGAAATTGGAACAGTGATAACAAAAGGTCACTTAATAGAATGTGTGAAATAATAAATTCATTTCATTCCATTTTATTTTCATGTTTTCAATCTGCTCAAACTTCTCAAGACAATTCATGAAAGCCCCATCAGTGGGAAAACTTAACTTTCAAGGGAATGAGTCATGAGATAATTCAAAAATGTGGGTCATCTAATTCATGTTGGGATGGTTTTGATTAGTTTAAATTTATTTCATCGACATGTAATCGAAATATATATATAGAAAGGAAACAATCTTATTTATTTCATATTTTTTCAACAATTCCACTAATGTAACTAAAATATAAAATTAATTATTATTATATATATTTTAAAAATATTATTTATCCACTCACATACTTTTCATCATCATTTACTGCCAATTATACTGAATCTCTCTCTCTCTCTCTCTCTCTCTCTCTCTCTCTTTCTCTCTCTCTTTCAATTGTTACTAACAAGGTTCTCAAAATCGGATTGGTCATCGAGTCAATGAAGCTTTTGGTTCCTTGGTGCAACAAGTGGTTGAACTGGTTGAGTCGGTATTTATTTACGAATATTTTTAAACATATATAAAATTTTATACAATGAACATTATACATAAACAATTTGTTAATTAAATATTTCGCCAATTTAAAACATTCAAATACTTAGACTAACTAATAATAACTTATACACATCCATCATAATTAAATATGTATTCTTTTATTTGTATTAAAAATATTTCAATTTTTATTAAATGTATTGAATTTTATTTAAAAAAAAAAAAAAAAAAATTGGACCAGTTCAAATAGGTCTAACAGTCCAGTTTTGTTCTGATCGGTCGTTGACTGATTTTTCACCGGTATGCTACCAATTGGTTCATTCCAACAAACTTGACCGGTCAACTGATCGGTTACCGGTCCAACCGGTCAGACCGATCGGTTCGATCCGATTTTGACAACCATGGTTACTACACAAAAACGAATACTTTTGAATATATTTCATTTGGCAGTGAGTCTTCAGAATCTTCACTAAGGGAAAGTTTCCTTTATTTCCAGTCTTCAAGATCCTCATAATTGCCTTTAATATGAAACTCCCGAAGCCATGTAGAAACACGGCTTTGTCTATTTGCGAGATTTGGTGGATCTTGTTCCAACTAGTCCATACCTTCAATATTCTCCTTCTTTGTAAATTAGTGTTGCGTCCTCACTGAATATACAACAACTAGTACTCAATGAAATTTCGTAAATAAGTCAATATATTTCCTTCATTTTGTCTTACTCCCTTTGCAAATGACCTATAATTAGTATAACCAAATAAACAAAGAATTATTCTAATTATTCCAATCAAAATCTTAACAATTATAACTATTTCATATTCATTCACAATCTTAGATTTATCTTAAATTGTTTAAAAACAAAATTTTCAGATTAAACAAGTGTTTTCTTTAAAACATCTTGTATCAAATCTCAGCCATAATAGCCCACAATCCACCCTAACAAAATTCTATTCTCATTTTTCCTCAAGTTCATCTAGAAACTATGTTTGACAAAATTTCTCTCTCGAGTAAAATATGCATCTTAACAACCTTTTTACAATCCACGTGATATAGCTATATGAATGTACTGGTGGGACCAAGAGAGAGCCAAATTCAAGTAATATTAATATTCAAATATGCACCAAAAGCAAGTACCAAAAAAAAAAGAAAAAAAAATGCACCAAAAGCTTGCCAACGACTTATGCATATTTGACAATGATACCTGAAGACTAAAATGTACATAATAAAGAAGTATAGAAAATTAATAATCCTTATCCTTATGCGCCTTACTATTTAGAGAAATGACTTTAAGATAAAGAGATAAGTTTGGGAAGCTTTCCATGCCTCACTTTACCGGAACATGGTCCATAGTCTAGCACGTGGGAGTAGGCCCTAATGCAGTCCGGGCCCATTAGTGCGACGGCCCAACCCCGAGTAAGAGTCATCTTTACCTAAATCTTGGGTCAATGACATAGACGTATCAAGTAAATGGGTCACGGTTTAGGCCCATTAATAAACAAACACGAAATGTAAAATATTTTAGGCGAATTTTCACTTTTAATGTGTGATTTGAAAATAATTTTAATTTTACCATGGGCCAAATTTTATTTGGGGAAATTTTATTGGAAGGCCTAACTTTTAGTAATTGTATTAATATAGGGCCTGAATTTTGTACTTTTTCAATAGAAGACTTATATTTTAGGTTATTCTCACTTTAAGGTTTACATTTTAGTTAGCTTTCCATTATAAGGCCCAACTGACTTTACCTTTTCTTATAAATATGTAAAACAACTATTATGTGAATAAAATTATTATTATTATTGTTATTTTATAATTTATATTTTGCATACTTATAATAAAAAATAACAAATATCTTTAGTAAAATTATATTAATAAAGATTAATTTTAACTTTTCTTTTTGGAAGCAAAAGTTGATACTATGTTATTGCTTGTTGAAAATGATATATTTTTGTAGATTGCATTTATATATTATTTTTTAGTTTTATTACATATTTATATTATTAATAAAAATAATATTTCCATTACATATTTTTTTAATTCACTTATCATTTTTTTAAATTATTCATGATTAAACTTTTGCATAAATATAATTTATATAGTTTCGCTATATTATTAAGTAAATATTACTAAAGATATTTATTATAAGTATGTAAGATATAAACTAAATAAAAAATTATTTTTGTTCACATAACTATATTATAAAATAAAGTTAATTGGTTCACATATTTATATCAAAATATAAAGTTAATTGGGCCTTACAATGGAAAGTTAATTAAAAAGTGAGCCTTAAATTGAGAATATCCTAAAATATAGGTCTTATATTGAAAAAGAATAAAATTCAAGCCTTAAATTGATACAATATCAAAAAGTTGAGCCTTCTAATGGAATTTTCCCAATTTTATTTGCATCTTTACAAATTAGAGTATCTCTAATGCATAAATGTTGTTATCACATAAATTTTGGCAACTGTCAATTATTTAGATGGATTGTGAACCACATAAGATATTTTTTAAGTTCACAACGTTAAATCTAAAAAATTATCTACAATGCATGATGTGATCAACCATAATATTGTTCACTTGGCGGAAATAAAAAGATTGTAAATAAGAAACAAAAAAAATAAGTTAAATAATTAGATATTTTGAAAATGGTAATAATATTTTCTTTCATCTCTCAATTGGTTGATTAGAATGTGAAAGGGAATGTGGATGAACCACATTCTTTTCTACATTGTATACATTAATTATGTCAACTTCATCACTACATTTGTGATTACATTGTGCATTGTAGGATTACAAGTGAAGACATTGCTAAATTTGTTAATATAAAGTGTAATTTACTACAACTACATTTTACCATTGAAGATGCTCTTATATGCCAATTAATTGTAAAGATGCACTAGATTATGGGATTTTTAATTATCAAATAAAAGTAAATGTCTCCCCCTCAAATTGCACACGTAATGGGAATTTTGGATTAAACCAAAAAAAAAAAAAAAAATGATTATGTATGATAAGGTTATATATCCTATAAAATAGGATATTGCTTCACTACAACATAGAAAGAGAGAGAATGTGAATTTCAAACTACATCACTTTCCAAATATATAGGTGTGACGGGAACATACAGTTTTTGCCATATCATCTTCCCATGGACAATTTTCAGCTCTCAAGTGGTTTTTAATGGACAAAATATATGTGTTCATAGCCAGTATATATTCAGTATATATATACTGTATTTTTTATTTACATAACAATTGTGATGTTTGAATTTTGGTTGAGTATTTAAGTATTTAACCTGATGCGTTTTTTATTTACATAACATTTCTATTTAACAACAATTGTGATTCAAAGTTTCTTTTTATCTTGAGTTTTTGGCATTTTCTAAATCAAAGTTATTTAATTAGTATACAAAATCAAATTTTGAAAAAAATATTTGTGTATATTTTGTAAAATATTAGGTGATTGGATATGAATTCAACTAGTAAAAATCTAGTTTTTTTTAACTATAGTTAAGTTTGAAAAAAAGTGGTATGGTTAGTTGTTAGTGGATATATTAAAATAGTATTTAAAATAAAATAGTTAAAGTTGATTTGATGTAAAAGTAAGAGAAAATTATTGGAAGTGATAGTTAGTTAAAATTATGTGAGTGGATGAATAGTAAATTAAAGTTGATGTGATGTGTAAAAATGATTGGTTGATATTATTTTATTATATTAATAATATTTAAAATAATGGAGTTGAGTTAAAGTTGTGTTAAATTTGAGTTTGAATTAGTTTTTTTACTGTACAATGCATAAACAATCACCCTTATACACTATTTAATGCACTTAATAGTGTATTATATTACATAAATAATAATACTAACGTGCATTAAATAACTTTCATTACATAAAATAAAAGGACTAAGAAGACGTACAACTTCTATAACTTTTATAAATAATAATGACATTATATGACAACAAAGTTTATAATAAAATAATAATTAACTATTATATGGTAACCAGAATAAGTAAAACTATTATTTTCTCTTATAAAATCAAATTTATATTGGTATAAATGTGTTAGTGAGATAATATATTAATTATTTTACAAACTAGTCCTAACTTACTCATATTTAATGTTCTGGCTAAAAAAACAACCTTGATTAAAAGAGGTGGAAAATAAATTTTAACTTTATTGTTTTTTAGACTTAAAGCTAATTAAAAGAGGTGGAAAATGGATGATAACCCTATTTTTTTTTGACTTAAACGAACAGAACCTGTGAAAATAATTCATTTAATATCTCTATATCGTACATCGTACGGGTACGTACTAGTTTTCTCAAAATGGAAGGACTTATTTGAACTTGGGCTTTTCAGGGCCGGCAATGATGAGTGGGCGGGCCTGTCGGGAAGGAAAGTAATAGCTGCACGTGATTTAGGTGATCTTATATGCGCGACAACTGATAGTTCCTTGTCAAATCGTGGGCTGTGGCCCATTTAAGGAGTTATGTGGTTAGAAACTACCTCTTGGAAACTTTTGTGCTGTATGTATTTTTAATTTTTTTATGTCATAAAATGAAATGATTTTAGGAGGGGTATTCCTATCAGATTTCTAAAATCTTTGTAAGATTTTAGAGATATTGGTTGATTTTAGTTTTTTTATAATTTTAAAAGTCTCGTGTTATTCATTTGCTAGTTTAAAAAGTCTTACCAAATTTTGAGATACTTAAGTTTATTTGAGATTGATAGTCTTTTATGATTTTTTTAAGATTTAATGAGTTTTTAAAAGAAAAAACATTAATTTCACTTCACATCTTACCTCTAAACTCAAGATTTCATGGTATTCTTCAGAAATCTAAAATCTTAAAAAGTCTCAAATCTAAATAATAAAGTTTCAAAATATCACTTAAAATCTCAACCGACTACATCCTTATCATTTGAAGTATGATGTAATTTTCTTGTGGCTTCCAAACTCCCAAAAATTAAATGAAACGTTTTTCTCCCAATATTCACATTAGAGCATCTCCAGTACTCTACCATTGACATTGAAAAATTGATGCCACATGGCTAATATAATTGGTACTGTCTAATGGATGTCGAATGAATGTACTTGACATTGACGTAAAATTTGGAACCAACTACAATGCACTTATTTTAGACTCGATGTCTTAACTATTTAAAATTAAATTTAACTAATAAATTGTTTAATGTCTCAACTAATTAATATTTATTTAGTTTACCGATTATTTAATGATTTAATACATTTTCCTCAGTTGTGACTCATTTTTTAATACAACAATTAAAAGTACGAAACGTTCGTACTTGACAGCTATTTTATAAAATTTTATTTTATTTTTTATTAAAGATTTTAATTTAAATTATTTATCTAATTTTTATAATTTATACTTTGAAAATTAAAAATCAAGTTGAAAAATCTAAAACATATGATCATGATTAAATTAATCGATTAAACAAATAGAATTATAAATATATGCAATATGTGTAATAAATATTATTTTATATAATATAAAGAGTATTTCGTAAGTATCTTCTGTATTTATTATCACTTAATATGTTACGTTACGTATATTTTTCTCTCATCAAAACCTACTAATTTTCGATTATAAATAAATTAATAATCTCACCATCACCGAGTAAGAATTCAAAATTCTCAGTTCCTTAATAATTGTAGAAAATGCCCAATAACTTGTCACAAATATTGCCAAATACCAAGTTCAAAACCTTCTGCAAAATCCAAAAATAAAACTATACTACTTTTA